GGAACGCATCTGAAACAAGAGAAAAGCATTGACTCCCCGGCCATGAAGTCTTGAAACTTTCCGCGAAAGGAAAAGACAGGCCAAGGACTACACCGCAGCATTGCGGACCAACCTTTGGACCGGCCGCCCAATTGAGAGCAGGACCGGCCGGCCATTTTGTAAAAATAGAATGCCGGCCAGCCAAAAGGTGTCCTCACGGCCACTAGCCCTGCAGCCACATGGTTTGAACACTGCCCCATATAGTTTTCCTCATAAAACCTTCACTCGGAACATTGCATTTCATTATTTTACACAAGATGAGCGTTCCGCGAAAACCAAACATCTGATCTTTCTCTAATGGCTCGAAAAAAATGAACTCCGGGGTTTCGCTTGATACATTCACGATGACCGTACTCCATAACAGCTCCCTTTCTCTCCATGCGGCAGGTCGGAACCCCAGTGACCACGTTTGTACTGGCGGCCAGGAATGTCCCATTGACATTCAGTTGATGAGCTGAAGCCGAAGTGATCTGCCCCAGCTCCGTTTTGGCCAGCTCAGCTTTAGAGGCGAGAAAAAAATTAGCAGCAAATATTTTCACAAAATTTTATCTTAATTTGAAATTCCCTCTCAAATTGGGGATTCCCCCCAAAATTTTGCCCTAACCCTTCTCTGTTTCTCATCTTACTCTCACACACAACTCCTTCTCATTCCTCACTACAAGAAAAGTGGGTATATGAGACGGAACTATTTGCGACGGCACACTTTGTCGCTCATCACTCTGTCTGTTTCTCTGTCTCTCTATCTCTTTTCTCTATTCGTCTCTCACTCATCTCTCTCTCTCACTACCCATCTTCTCTACCACATTTACCACTACTGCAAATGCCATTCAACTACCACCACTCTTCTCTTTCTCTCTTTTACTCATCACTCTTCTTTCTCTGTCTGTTTGTCTATCTGTCTGTGTGTCTTTCGTTCATCTTTCTTCTCTCTATCTCTCTCATCTGTTTTCTCTCTCTGTCTCTCTCGCTCATCTCTCATCTCTCTATCTCGCTCATCTCTTTTCTCTCTCTGTCTCTTTCGCTCATCTCTCTTATTAATATCTTATTTTATTTTTTATTATCTCAAAATATTAATTTTTAAAAAAAATTAATTATTAAAATAATATGAATTTCTTATTTTGTCTTTTTTTAAATCCATTAATAATACAAAAAGTACAATTATGACAATTGATATTTCTAAAAAAATATACTATCAAAAGGTAATTTTGAAAAATTAATATTTTTAAAATGTAATAATTGTATTATAAAAAGAAATTAAATTCTGAAAATAGACTATTATTTTGAGATGGAAGAAGTAGTCGGCTTTCATTTGATGGGTTGAACACATTTTTTAATAATCACTACAAGAAAAGTGGGTTTATGAGACGGAACTATTTGCGACGGCACACTTGTTGTCTCAAAAAGTCACTTTTTGTGACGGCAGAAAATGCCGTTTCAAAAAAGCAGAGTATTTGCGACGGCACCATTTGCCGTCTCAAAAAAGCAGAGCATTTGCGACGGCACTATTTGCTGTCTCAAAAAATGAGAGTATTTGTGACGGCATTTTCTGCCGTCGCAAAAAGTGACTTTCGTTTTTTTTTTTGTTTTTAGTGAATATTTTTAAAATTTTAAATATTTTTTTAAGATGCACCTTATTTAGATGTATTTAAAAAATAAAATAATTATGAAAAAATATTTTTAAAAATTAATAAATACATAAAAATACAAAAAAAAAATGTATTGAATTATTGTATTTTTTTTTTGTATTTAATGAATTTTTAAAAGATTTTTTTTACAATTTTTTAATTTTTAGGTGTATTTATGTTAGATGTGTCTAAAAATTAAAAAAAATACTTAAAATATTAAAAAAATTCAGTAAAAACAATATAACACGGAAAACAAGAAAGTATAATTTTCTCAAAAGAGCTTTTTGAAAACTCTAACCTAGCATAGTGATTGTGGTTTTGAGATAGCTTCATATATATACAGTCACAAAATGGTTTGAATAAATTCAACGGTATTTTTCTGTCGCAAAAAAAACAAAAAAAAACAATGTCGTCTTACTCTTTTAATATAACATTTCTCTTTTCATTCATTTTTTCATCTTCCTGTCTCTCTGTCTCTATCTCTCTCTTCTCTTTATCTTTTTCACTCATCACTCTTCTTTCTCTGTTTGTCTGTTTCTCTCTCTCATTTTCTCTCTGTGTCTCTCGCCTATCTCTCTTCTCTCTATCACTCTTATCTGTTTTCTTTCTTTGTCTCTCTCGCTCATCTCTCTTATCTCTATCTCTCTCATTTCTTTTCTCTCTCTCTCGCTCATCTCTTTTCGCTTTATTTCTCTCTTTTTTTGTCTATCTCTCGCTTATCTCTTGTTTCTCTATTTTTTTCTATCTCTCCCTCTACCTCTCTCCATCTCTTTCTCTCTCTATCTCTTTTTTTGTCTCTCTATCTCTCTCTCTCCATGTCTCTCTCTCACTCATCACTCTTCTCTCTCTCTCTGTCTACTTGTTTATTTGTCTATTTATCCCTCACCATGTTCGCTTTGCTCACTCTCTTACTCTCATCTTCTCTATTTATCGAGCTCTTTCTCGATTTATCGATCCACTATAAGAAAATACACTTTTAGCAACCACTTTGTCTCTTTCTCTCTCGCCTATCACTCTATTTATGTCTCTCTCTCTATCTCCTTCTTTATCTGTTTCTCACAAAATTAAAATATTTTAAAAATATTTAAATACTTAAAATATTTAAAAATTTGATTTGAATTAAGCTTTGAAAAGAGTTTTAAATTATGTGTTTGGTTATGAGTTTTGAAAAGTAATGATTATATTTTGAATTGAGTTTTGAAAAATGGATATTGAATTATGATTTGAAAGCTCAAAACAAACACCATACTTAAATTAATGGGTGGAACTATGACCACTACCATTACCACTCTCTCTGTCTCTTTTTTTTTTTCTATGTCTCTCTCGTCAATCTATTTTCACTTTCTTTCTCTATCTTTTAGTTTATCTCTTGCTCATCTCTTGTCTCACTCTCTTTCTGTCTATCTCTCTCTCTCCGTCTCCCTCTCTCTCTCACTCATCACGCTTCTCTCTTTCTGTCTGCCTGTCTGTCTATCTCTCTTCCCCCACTGTGTTTGCCTTGCTCACTCTCTCCCTCATCTCTTCTTTATTTATTGAGCTCCCTTTCGATTTATCGATCCACTATAAGAAAATGCACTTTTAGCGACCACTTTGTCTCTTTCTCGCTTATCACTCTGTCTCTCTATCTCTTTTCTCTATTCGTCTCTCACTCATCTCTCTCTCTTACCACCCATATTCTTTACCACATTTACCACTACTGCAAATGCCATTCAACTACCACCATTCTTCTATTTCTCTCTTTCACTCATCACTCTTCTTTCTCTGTTTGTTTGTCTATCTGTCTGTGTGTCTTTCGTTTATCTTTCTTCTCTCTATCCTTCCCATTTGTCTTCTCTCTCTCTCTGTCTCTCTCGCTCATCTCTCTTCTCTCTATCTCTCTCATCTCTTTTCTCTCTCTGTCTCTTTCGCTCATCTCTTTTTTTCTGTCTCTCTCGCTTATCTCTCTTCTCTCTATCTTTCTATTTTTCTATTCTCTCTCTTGTTCATCTTTTTTCGCTCTTTATCTCTCTTTTCGTATCGCTCATCTCTTGTTTCTTTCTCTTTTTCTGTCTCTCTCTCTATCTCTTTCTCTCTTTTTCTGTTTGTTTCTCTTTCTTTCTCTCCGTCTCTCTCTCTCACTCATCACTCTTAATAGAAAGTATTTTTCATTAAAATATTATCCTTACTTCTACCAAATGAAAAATAATAATAATAATTTTTCATTCATTAAATATTCATTTATGATGAAAATTATTATTTAAATATATATTTTTTTCCCAATCCTGCCCGCTCGATTCCCCCATTTTTTTCCATTCCCGCGCCCCAAAAAATCCCCATTTTTTTCCATTCCTCACTTTCCAGTCTCATCACAAGTTCAACTCATCACTGTCCCTCTGTCTCACTCTCTCGTTCCGTTGTTCTTCATATCTACACCGATCACTCTCTGACTCTCTCGTTGTTCATCTCATCACACCGATCATCGCACCGCCGATCTACTCACAGGTAAACTCTCTCTCAATCTCTGTCTCTCTCGCCCCGGTCGTTGTTTTTTTTTTGTTTTATATATATATACATACATATATATATATATCAGATAACTCTCTGATCTAATCTGTCTCCCTCACTCTCTCATCTCATCAGTCTCACTCTCTGGTTTTGCATCTCTGCACCGATCGACTCACAAGTAAGCCTCTCTCTCTCTCTCTCCCTCTCCCTAATCTCTCATCTCTGCACCGATCGAAAAGATCTGTTCTGTTTGTTTGTTTTGGACCAACAGATCTGTTCTGTTTGTTTTGGAATCTGTGTGTTTGTTTTGTTTTGGAATCTGTTCTGTTTATTTTATTTTGCACCGATCACTCTCTGTGTGTTTGTTCTTAAGGAATTTGTTGAATCTGTGTGTATGTATGTTAATCAGATTCATGTTGATTTTGTTGAATTTGTTCTTAAGAAATCCCTGTGTGTATGTTGATTTTCATTTGAGATCTGTCTTGATTGGTTATCATGTTGAGAAATTGGAGGAAAATCTTTGTAGTTCATTCCTGTTTGATGGTTTAGTTGTCTTGTCTTCCTCATTGCATTTTTATTTTTTTATATTGCATCTACAAGTAGATCTAGTATCCAAAATCCTGGAAATATTTAAAAATTTGATTTGAATTAAGCTTTGAAAAGAGTTTTAAATTATGTGTTTGGTTATGAGTTTTGAAAAGTAATGATTATATTTTGAATTGAGTTTTGAAAAATGGATGTTGAATTATGATTTGAAAGCTCAAAACAAACACCATACTTAAATTAATGGGTGGAACTATGACCACTACCACTACCACTCTCTCTGTCTCGTTTTTTTTTTCTATGTCTCTCTCGTTAATCTCTTTTCACTTTCTTTCTCTATCTTTTAGTTTATCTCTTGCTCATCTCTTGTCTCACTCTCTTTCTGTCTATCTCTCTCTCTTCGTCTCTCTCTCTCTCTCTCACTCATCACGCTTCTCTCTTTCTGTCTGTCTGTCTGTCTCACTCCCCCCCACTATGTTTGCCTTGCTCACTCTCTCCCTCATCTCTTCTTTATTTATTGAGCTCCCTTTCGATTTATCGATCCACTATAAGAAAATACACTTTTAGCGACCACTTTGTCTCTTTCTCGCTCATCACTCTGTCTCTGTCTCTCTATCTCTTTTCTCTATTCGTCTCTCACTCATCTCTCTCTCTTACCACCCATATTCTTTACCACATTTACCACTACTGCAAATGCCATTCAACTACCACCATTCTTATATTTCTCTCTTTCACTCATCACTCTTCTTTCTCTGTTTGTTTGTCTATCTGTCTGTGTGTCTTTCGTTTATCTTTCTT